ATTCAGTCCACCGTACGATCCTTTCTTTTTTTAACGTAAAAGTCAAATCATCGCAACCTTTACACGCCCTAATTTCGGCTTTTTTTTTAAACAAGAGATTGAAATAGAATTTTTATATCCGTTAAACGTGACACGCTATTATTTTAGAACGCAACAATTTCACATATAATCGTCCTCCAATATATCTTCTTTAATTTTTCCCCGATTTAACGGCAGCAGGAGCGACGGGATAAAACAGTACTCCAGCTGGCCGACTAAGGGCAGGAGGAGCAATTTTCTTCCGCAGACCACTGGAACGTAGAATGAGCAAGTAGTTGCCGCGTAACCTCGATCACTTCGAGAGACTATCGAGTTACGGCGGCGTTCCTCGTGTCCGGCATAATCCCCGCCAAATCCTGATACTGTATGCCGAACGTAAAAGGGGTCTCTGCGGTGTCGCGGTTCCGGGGTACCGGCAAGGGGTGAAATTGACCGGCGTCGTTGCCACTTGAGGACCGTCCAGCAATTACGAACCATCCCTACGGCCCATTGCTATTGCTGGCTGTAGGTTGGCGTCGCTGGTTGGTTGCCCGGTTGTCTGTTCATGGATATACATACCTCAGCATTGTTCCCGCAGTGCCACCCTCTCGGCTCGATGCTCACTCTCTCCGTCTTCCTCCCTCTACTCTCGCTCTGACCTCCCCCTCTCTCTCTCTCTCTCTCTCTCTCTTGCTCGCTCGCTATCCCGACGTGTCCTACGTTCAACGTTCTAAATCACGGCTATCTCTTGGCTTAACTAACAATGCGCTCAGCGACACCGCGCTCCTGCTCGTTCGTCTGCTTATTATCTTCGGACCTGCTTTATCTGCGCCCGCATAAATGGAAAATTTTCATTGCGCTGCGCGCGAATCCCCCACCCCACCAGATTTGTTAGCCAGAATGCCAGAATGCCGGCGCGGACGGCTATCCGGCAACGCGGTCGCGTCGTCACCAAAAATTGCGTGCTTTTATCGTTTCAACTATTTCACGAGGCGACGCGAGGAGCGATTCAATCTACAAATTGCCTCGCTTTAGATAATATATACAAAGGATCCGAGGGAGGGGTTTGATAGGGCGCATTTTGCTCTCATAGCTCTGACATAATCTCCAACGAGTCTTGTTAAATTCACGCCGTGTATATCGATAGACGTGCATATTTAATTTAATTTTAATTACACAGTCTCGTTCCACGCAGCGGCGAAATGACGCTCCTGGCACTCGGGAGAGAAAGCTTTTCGCGTGAAGACGAAACAACAAAAGGATCTATCAACGCATTATTCTATCCCGTGGAAAAAATTGTACCCTATTTTCAGGGGCCGAGGGTTCACGGGACGTGTATAATAATGTTGAACATAATGACTTTAATAATAAGACTTTACGATATCGTAAATATCATCCTCCCCCTTTTTTTTATATACAACAACGTAATATTGTGCGGAAGGTAGAAGGCTAGCTTTTATAGGGGGATCGCGTCCCGCACGATATACGGGGGCCGCGGTAGACAAAGAACACACTCGCACACAAGACGTACTACTATGAGATTACCTGCTTATCCTAGCTTCCAGCAGCTACTAACCAACGCGACGTAGATCTCCAAGTATCCCATATACTTACACCGGCCAAATTCACCCTAACAGCATGCACAACGGTTGGCAAACCTCGGAGTAAATCGGGAGTGTAATGCACTCGAATGTGCGAAATAAATTTTACGAGCGCCGTTCCCGAGCGCCGCCACGCGCATCGAGACGAGACTCCGTGCCTGCGAACCGCGCTAATTATCAAATTTTCGCTATGTTATCCAACGACTGGCGGGACCGTGCGTCGATCGACATATTCGAAACAATCGTAAACATAATTGTTGCTTGTGCAATATCAATGCCCGTTTTATTCCGCTCATTACTTTAAACGCTAGCGGTGTTTCTATGGTAACCGGCGCATTTGTAACATTGGACCGCATGATATTGTTAATTACGCCGCTTTAATAACAGTCGTTATCTGCCGGCCGTTTAAATTATTTGCCCTGCGCGGACAAATAATAGTGAACGATTTCAGAATGTTAAAAAGTTACGTTTGTCGATTATATTATTAACGATACAGGCGGACAATACAAAGTGCGCTTAATATTCTCAGTTGGTCAATATGCGAAGTAATTAAAGTGGAAAGGGACCATTGTCGGTAAATAAGCGAAATCGTCATACATCACGGCGGAGTGAAAGATGCGAGGAAAGTCCGAATTGTAAACGACGTAAGGTTTTCGTCGAGTTTCTTAGACAAGAACAAATAACGTCGATCCCATCGCGGTGAATCCAAGTCGGACGGGGTTTACCATGCCAGTAAATGGCTGATGGATAAGACTGCTCGGGCCTCCGTCGTAGATCAAGGAGACGTTTCAGAGTGGAGAAAGATTTGGATAAAAGGTTCCTAACAGGCCGTTAAGGACACGGTTATCCCGTAAAAGAAAACGCGACCGGTAAAAGAAAACGCGAGGCGGGGATACCTACGAAAAGCGATTTCAACGACTTCCCGTCGCTCCTAAACCTTGGCGACTTACATTCATGCAACTTTTATGAACATCCGGCCCCGCTTAGAATGTTTGCAGATCTCGCGATTGCATCTGGCGCCGCGATAGTTTTTATACGTTGCGCACGATATTGTCACTGGGGTAATATAAGATCGATCCAAAGTTACGTAATAACTTGCTTCGGAACTTGGGCTGTTGCGACCCTCGGTTATATTAACTGGGGAGAGGTTTCGCGCGTGCCCGGTTGTTTCGCAAAATGATTACAGCGTGATTCGGTAATGGATCGATGAAATGATTTATCATTTTACTGAGTTAACGAACCGTTGACGGCACAATACGCTGTTTCGTATGCCACGTTCGTCTCTGCAGTTGCACCGTTTCGCACGCGATGTTTCGCACGCGGTGTACACATTTAATTATTGACGCTTTTAGCGAACACGCGGCATGACTAATGAAACGATAAGTACGCCCGGAATTCAGTCGACTATGACTTCCAGCTGCGTCAGTTTGAGCTTTGCCCTTCATGGGTTACGTTGCAAACGAATCGTTATTAATTGTTGCGACTGATCGGCGAAATACCGCAACAACCGGCACGTTATGCCTCCGTAACCAAATATCGATTTCCGCTAATGAACACTGGAGTTTTGGGTTACATTGTTTTCCGTGGTTTGCGGTTGCATTTAAACGTAAAAAATGTTAGACAGTTGTTTATCATTAAAAAAACGTACAAAAATCTTTCGTCAGGCCCAATGACTTTTATTTCCCTCCGACGGGAACGCCGTTCTTTTCAGCTCGGCGAGCACGCGCAGATGACAGCGAGTCAATGTATAATTTACGTTGCATGTATCCCGAAATCATTCTGCATCTTTCTACTTTGTATTCCAGCCCAATTCGCCGCGGTGCGAAAACGTGCCAATAAATTTTTATTGCTATTTTATGATAACATCACGCGGATCTTGGTGAACCGATCCGTTTTAGTATAATGGTATCATAAATCACATTTCGCGATAACCAGACAGTATCGTGCCGCTGCCCTCAATGTAATTGCCAATATCACGCTGATGGATTTTTGTCTAGAATGGCATATCATCAATTTCGGCCTAATTATCCACAGTGTCTAAACAGTGTTTATCGCACTTGTAGAAATTTTGATAAATTAGATTGTGCCGTATCCACAATAAGACCGTAAGCTTATTGTTTCGCGGCTATTTGCGCTGCAATTAGGCATTATTGAATATCGACCGTTCCACGTTTTCTCTTTTTCTTTTTTTTTCAACCGAAAATGAATTCGTTGAAACTGTGTCATTAGGACAAACTCATTAATTCACACAGACTTTAAGTAAAATAAAACTTCTATATAGCTTCAAAGTTCTTGCAGAAAGAACAATAACTCATGCTCAATCTGCAAAGAGTAGAAATGGTAGGAAACAAGATCATTAAAGGAGGACGAGAAAACTTTCTTTTACGGGGAGGTTTTAACTTTTAATGAATTTCGAATCATAAAATACGCCATGTACATTTTAATCCTTGATATTAAACGTACGAAGTAAATTTGTTTGTTGTTAAATAATTTATTATGCCCGTCATTATTTTACAATTCAAACTGAAACGTAATTAAAATAAAAGACTGCGTATTCGCGCGCGTTCGACAGCATCTTGATTATGGATCATTTCCAACCCGATGCCGCTGCAAGTTTACAATAACGAAGTATCGGGATGCGTTTCGACGATAAAGTTAAACCCATCTCGCTGCCCGGGACGAATTTTATTTCGAAACCATCCCATATGCAGCAATTTAACTCCCCAACGCGCGATATCGCCATTTTGAGCCAGCTGCTTCGACGTTCGTAATCACGGGCGGTAAAGCGTACACTCCGATCGTTTTAAAACACACTTTATTTGCGATATCGTCTCGCGACTTTGATTACCAGAACCGACGGGATTTTTTTTCGATTGTGCCAAATTTTATTTATCGGCAAAATGCCGCCATATTATGTTTTTTTTTTGCGCAACACGCGCAGTCCAGCTTTTTTTTTTACTGATTCTCGTTAAATCGGATTACGGCTATCATTGCCGGACGTTGAATTTAATCCGCCGCAGGTTTATACAGCTGCGCTTAATCAGTTTTCCTTTTTTTTCCCCCCAGTGAATACATTCACGTTTAAGCAGCATGAGTGAATTGACCGCTTGTTGATGTAAACGAGAACTCTGCATGAAGTACGCATGATCATATATGCTAACTCCGCTTTATTTATCGCGGTTGATATTTTCGATCGATTCGAGGTTTTCGCGACGCAGCGCGGCGTTCCTATTTTCTTTTTGCAAATGCGTGTTATGTTAACGCGCAGCGTTGACTAACGCTATTTTCACGGCGACAGTAATCTCCATTCTACATCTCGATTCCACTAAGAAGGCTGCTGCCTAACTTCGATCAGGTTGGACAATCTCTTAAAAATACCTTTCCTATGTTTTCTGCGCATTTTTTTATCTCCGTTAGTTTTCTTTCTATAATTTTGTCGAAAATTAATTTGCTACGGACTATTATAAAATTATTTTTTAACCATAAAATAACACAATCTGGTCAATGCATAATTTAAATAAATACTTTAATTATTACTATGCATATGCATAGAGAAATGATGTAAATAACTAAATGCAATTTATTACTACCTCGCGATAAATCTATTCACTACTCAGCTAATTAAAATCGTCGATAAAGTACGTAGTGTAAAATAACTGATTTATAATCGAATAACTACGAATAACCAAATAGATTGTGCTGGCGTTATTAAGCACGTTACTCGTTTAATTTTTTTCTCGAAGGCAAAGAAGCATTGTCCTAAATCATCATCGATCAAAAATTCCTATCCAAGATAAATTGAACGCCCGACAATTTCTCGGGGACCAAAAGATTGCTGCACAAGTTTCTCGTATCGTTACACGTTGATGACGTTGCGAAATAATATTCAAATCAGTAGCCGAGGTCAGAAATCAGGTAATCGGTGACCCAACAACAATGACCGTCAACGGGAAGTTATTTGCGTTGAGGATTACGTGGCAACCTTTGCACGAGATATTGTGATGCAAAGTGTCCAGTGCGAAATCGAGGGAGATCCTGGTGTGTACACGTTCCGTCGTAGCCGCCCTCGTCCGTGTTCACGCGTGTGCGTGCGGGTGTGTGCGATTAATATGCGTAGAGTGGTACAGGGATTCTGCTCAGTATGCGGGACATCATCGCGTCTATGATAGTATGATTGTCGGGCCACTCGTGGCTCAATCTAACGTTCCAATGTTCCATTGCTGCCCCCCCCCTCTCTCTCTCTCTCTCTCTCTCTCTCTCTCTGTCCCGCTCTCCTTTCCTCTCCTCTCTCATTCTCTAGTTCACACTCAAGCCATCACATTTCGCTTCTCACTCGCCGTTCCACCAACTTTGCTGTTCCCTGTTCATCTCTGTCTTTCCCCCTTTCCTCTCAAACGGGAACGGCAGTCAAACCCATCCGGCTAATCCCAGGAGGACTCCGCTCTCCATCCCTTATCAGTATTCAATGCCTCTAAACTGCTTTTTGACACTATCCAAGGCCTCGAGAATTCTATTTTACAACTCAATTCTCTGATCTCGCCGTTCTACAGATATACCGGTGAATTGCATGGCCACGCAACGTGGGCGAGAAAACAACAATAAAATGCTCTTTACGTATATCCTCGTGAATTAAATATAAAGTAGGTAAGTAGAAAGATAGGGTGACAAGTAAAGAAACTTCGAATGCAGCTAGAATCTACGGAGAACGTTAAATGCGTATTTTTTAACTTCGATCAACTTTAATCGGCCGATATCGATCTTATAAAAAGTTCGAAATATATTACATTGAGCTTTATTACTATATATTAGAAATAAAAATCACACTTTAGGTTTTCTACATTAATAAAAATACGTAAATACCTTTCCAATAATAGACGCAGAATACCATTTGAGGACCCGTTAATTAAATTTACTCAGAGTTACTTAGTAAGCTTTGTGATTTACAATATGCTAACAAACACGTGGCAATAACGATAATACACTTTGCAACCAAAAAGCTAATGAGTTAATAATACTTTACGGGCGGAAAGCAGTACGAGCGACGTCGAATTTTATAAAATCAAGTCGCCAACCAAACAACATCGACTCCGCGAGATCGCCTCGGTTTAATTCATTTAAATGCTTTATCGTGCAGGCGAAACAGAATGGCGGCTAGTGAATCGGACCATTTATTCCACAAACCACGATGAACCATTCCGTCCCATACTCCCTCTCCCTCTCTCGTCAGTTGCTCTCGCAACCAGCTACCATATAAACCCGTACCCCGTACCAGCTCCCGTGCGTGTGAGCTGCTTCCTGATGCTGCAATGACAATTTGTAGCGTGGACACGTGTGTGAGAAACAACTGAAAATTTAAACGCGAGCAAGCGCGAACGCACAGAGGGACCGATAGCATTATCGTAATTAATAAATTCGATGTGATAATCGTATATTTTGATACGTCAATCGAATGTTGATAGCTAATGTGCCCTGTTTATTAATATTGTTGAATATTATCGATGTAGTTAATGCATTAACGCGTTAACGGGAAAGTGATTTTGCCACAAAATTGCGAATCTTGGTATAACTCGTATGTGTTTTGCATTCGTAATGACACTTTTGTTTCTGGATTGCACGAATTCGTAATGCGTGCTCGCGAAACGTAAAATAACAAATTACTGATTTCGGGGAAATTCTCGCCAGATGTTGCGAAAAAAATTATACAATTTCGAATTGGTTCGAAGATCATTTATCAGAAGAGAGTTTGATCAAAGAAACGTGGGGTGTCAGGGAGGAAAAGAGTTATATTAAATCTTGAGAAAATCTATTTCGTGTTAAAGTTAAAGTTACCTTTGTCCGCCATTCGACGAGTTTCGCGTATCGATTTTCACAGGGAGTAGAAAGATTACGCGGCAAAGTGAACGCGATTTGATTCGCGATTAAGAAACCTACCGTTCGGAAACGTGAGCTGTTCATTGGCATCCAAGAAAAAGCGAAAGGATGTAAGATTGGAAGGACACGAGAATGCACCTTCCAGTGTTCCTCCGATCAGAAAACTCGTGATCGTTTAAAGGCAGAGCACGCAGTGCGTGATCTCCCGCACGAGAAACGTTCTCAGCCAATTTAGTTCGATAAGTTGTTGTAAAAAGTAATCCAAAACCAGAGCTTAAATTTTTTCATCAAAAATACAGATACAAGATACATTTTCAATCGATTCGGTGAAGAGATACAGATTCAACTTACATTTCTTGAATTCAATTTTAGATATGCACCGAATTATTTTTCCGCAGAAAAATACAGAAATGTGGATAGTACCTCTTTTTAAAAGACACCAAGCTCTGTATAAAACTACGAGTGATATAAAAATATAGTAATTATAATGCATGATTTTAATAAGTGCGAGTATGATAGTGACATCAACTGTGGTAAATGGCAAAGAGAATGGAGTCGCGCTTGTGACATTTTTATTCTCATATGAACAGCAGTTCGAAAAGTGAAAATAGGGATTGTCACGTTTCCTCTATAAACAGCCGTCTCATTCTGACATTATGTGCGTAGTAAATCTATATTCAACGTGAAATAAAGATATGCACTGCGTGTGAATACAGTAAAAGAACACCATATGTATAATACAAAGCTCGCGGCGCTTTCCACACGCGTGTTCGCGAACGATCATCAGCACGTCTTTTCGCGTCGCGTGTGTGAACGTTCTCCTGGCATAAATAAATAATTGCAAATACACCGTCAGCTTCCACCAGGTGTGGATGGTCCTGCATGTTCTTGGTGCGACGGCGCCGAGTACCACGTTCTTGAATATTTCAAGATACAACTGGCACGACCTCCACATGAATTCTTACGGTCCGTCAACGGTGCTCGGAAAGGGTTTGAAAAAGATACGAGAAACACGCCCGAGCGATCACAATTTGAAGCACGAGGCGATGTAACTCAAGTTTCCGGGCATGTATACATGCATCAAAAATAGGCTACGAGGTAAACGTGTCAAGATATACGAAATAACAATGGCTCTCTTTAGCCATGCATAAAACTCTCATATGAAGGAAAACTCGCTGTCGGGAAATTAAAAACCTTCGAGAAAGATGTTGCATTTCCTCAGGACAGTTATTTCAGTTTAAAAAAAAATGGCATGAAATTTTATATAATCTACAAATTTTCCCGAATCATTAATGCGTTGAAAAGAATTACATCGGCGAAGAAAGCTGAAGAAAACGCAAACGTATTGACGATTACTATTACAACGAAAGCGACAGCAAAGAGAATTTATAGAATTTTCACCTTCACAGTCAGACGCCATCGAGATCCGGCTTTAATAAAAGCTCAAGGTGAAAGAGAACATTCCTCCATCGCCATCGAACGTTCGAAATAGTTCACGCACTCGGCCGTGATAATGAGCTTTTAATGAGAACGCAATCGGTTATGATCATGGCGAAAAGTTGCTGTAATTACGTGCGTATGCCTGAATAGAGTTTAATGAAAAGCAATATCGCGAAAATTCGATAGACTTCGAGAGATGCGGCCTTACGTTGCAAGAAGCGAGGTGAGAGAAATATTGATGAAGGCTGGCCACCGCAGTAGAGTAGCGCGAGGCGGTTTACGAGTTTGCAAATACACGGTTCTTGGGACTAAAGTTTATCGACATGAAAAACATATTAAAAATTTGTTCACTATTATAAAAGTACGAAAGGATATTGATTATCGAATGATGAATTTATATAAGAAAGAATCTCGATATCGTGTATCTTCAAACCACGAATTTTTATATGCACCGTCAAAGTTTTAAATAATTTAAATCAATTATCCTTATTTTGATTTTGATGCCTTAGATGAGAGTTTAGTTGTATAGCGGGGAAAAACCAATGGTGAAATTATGATATTTAATCTTCGCTCATTCTTTGTCTCGCATAGATATAGAGCACTGATTGCTGGCGGACAAAGCGCCGACTCTTATAAATTACATAACGTTTTAAGAGGCGTCTTTCCTTATCGGAGGCATTAAAACAAAGTGCAACCAATTACACGCTTATAGCAAATTCCAAAGGCATCGCGTCTCAAAGGGTAAGATCTTAAAAAGCTTTGTTGCCGGGGCAAACGTTTTCCATGGAACGGTCCTTCATAATTTCACTCTTCAATTATTTGTGAATTCCCCTAAAGCTCAATGGCTTGTTCGATGTGAAGCCGATTAAAAGCTTCTCATTTTTAGCGATACTCGATCGTAAAAAAGCATAAGACGATTGTCATGAATTTTTTCATGAGAAAAATTACATGCAATTCAAAAGAAACGAAAACAAATTTAAAGCCGAGAAGTGGTCTAACTTTAATAGCATGCAAAGTAGAAAATGTGCTATCGTTCCGACGATCTTCGAGCAATATTAAACAGGTGGTTTTACTCTAGAATTGTGATTTATCGTCAGCTTTGATAACAGGAAAATTGGTCATTTTGTTGATAAATTTAAGCTTGAATACATCAATAAAAAAGACTAAGTATTAATGAAAAGAGAAGACAGAATTATATTAAATTTGAGGCATTGTTTCGTGACAGAAATTAATGTGTTCTCACATATAATACGATCAGATCTCGGAACATATATTGGTAGATTTTTCCAACTTTGTCAGGAATTCTGGTAAGCGAGAAGAATGCGAGTTCTACTTCTACCGCCTATTTTTCTTATTGCCTCGGATCTTTAGGACTTTCTACGGATAAATTTTACTTTCCAAGTTGCGACGATCTTTCTGGCAATCATGCGATATGCGCGAGGATAACATTAAACACGAAAATAAAGTGAAAAATGTAGGCGAGAAGAGTGCAAGCAAACTATGTATTAACTATGTATTAACGGTACGTCCAGAATAATCGGCGCATCTCGCATTATGAGAAGCGAGCCTCGCCGCCTCGCTGCATTTCCTTTCTTTCTATCCCTCTAGGGTAATCTACTTCCTAGAGTGGCTCCTCTCCCTTCACCCTTCACCTTGGTTGCTCCTAAGCTGCGCGTATACTGAAGCATCTTAATCGCTTTATCGCCCGCGTGGAATATAATCGCTCGGTTAAGAGAAGCACCGTCAAGCTCTTCCTCCGAGGATATCCACCCGATTTACCGAATCCTTCTCTCTGCGAGGTATCGACAACGGGCCTCTTCCGGGGGATTCATACGGTCTATCGGGAATACTCTATGGTATCCCTGAGATATTTTCGCGTTTCAAGATTTCGGTCTCAGCAGTTTCACGTGGCGACGCGAACAGAAGAGCATTATAGTTTAAGCTAGAGGTAAGAAGCAAAAAGAGGATTCTTGAAAATTATAAATAATACGTTTTCATTGTTAACTTTGTTACATCACGCTGAGCTGCGGCATGTGGAATATTTTCGAGGAATGCTTTGCCTTCGTCATCGGCGACGTCCATTTTACAATCTAATTTTTCATTAAAAAAGAAATAACATTTCTCAACTGCGATCTTCTTCTTGCGGTCGGTGCACTTGATATGCCTAGATTTTATACACGATGACTAGTACGAATCCCCAATCTCGACAGAGATAAGTGCACGATTCGCGCAGGATATAGCATGATCATTTTTTTGTGTACAGTTTAGCTGACGTGAAAATATACGCTCTACCCGTGCAGTATACTAACGAAAAATGGCGGCTCTTACGTGAATAGTAAAGTAGCAATGGAAAATTGCCCTTGCTTATCGGGAATACATGCACGGTGTGTCGGTTACGTATGTGTATTGGAACATTGCGCGTTGTTGTTCGAGTTTCATATCCGAAGATTGCCAGTGCATTTCTGCCTATTTCCAGCGCAGTGTATAGAGCAAAAACTTTACAATTCGTTTTGCGAAGGGTGGAACCATTGAAATCAAATGAATCAATTTTTATCTAAAGCGAAATTGAATATTTCTCGCGTAGGATAGAATGGAGCTATTTCGCTCAGTAAAAGGAAAAAAATCAGGTGAAAAATTGTTAAGACGGGGAGGGGCTTTTTGGGGCATGGAGCTCTTTGTTTTTCGGGGCTTTTTGTCTTGAAAATTTTGTATCCGTATTTTTTTAACTGAGCGAAATAGCCGCGATCTCCCTATATACATATTTCACGAAAAATACTTTCTTTATGCGAAATACGCGCCAATGCAGTAATGTTACCATTATGATATATGAACCTGAAAAATTAACGGATTTCGTCATTCAGCAAAGTATTGCGATACGTTTGAGTAAAATAATTTTTAACTTTCAGAAAAATGGAAAAGCCACGTCCGTCAGGTACCATGCGTGTTGCAATATTTTACAATTTTTATTAAAAAAGTTCATAACATATCTTAGCCGTAAAATGCGCAATCATTCATCTCTCCGGAACCTTAAAATATCGTTTCACTTGAAAAGTTCAATCGAAGTGCAACGAAACAGAAACCTTGTGCAACGAACATCGACATGTGTAACAGCGAACCCTGATGGTTAAATGCTCTCATCGTATTTCAGTTGCACCTTGTGCATCCGTGTGCCGGCTCTTAATCGCAGTTGTGACTTTATACCGTCAAACTTGCACGGAATGTCAAACGTGGAGTAGAGGAAAACATCTAGAACTTCAAGCGAGATCTCTGCGAAGTATTAAATAATTAAAGAGGGACAGTTGAAATGGCAGTAGTCATCTTGCTCCGGAATATGGCAAGAATTCGCAGCACGCTATATACTCTTCTGACAGAGGCACTCCTTTACCTTGGCAAGATTCACTGAATAGTCGAGGAAAATAGGTCACTGCATACATGGCGAGCCACTCGGGCGAGCCACGCGGACGATGGACAATTAATTATACAAAGAAAATAAATATGATATCAGCGAAGAAATCTACGGGCGTCAAGCGCAGAAGGAATTGGGAAACGCTTTAGCGAGACTCGACATCTCTACAGAGACACTTGCTGCTAAAAGCTTCCAAAAAATATATACTCTCAAGTTACCTCACTTTTACGGGATATCATCATCGTGCGGACGCCGCAAAAAGTTTGATACGCGTACAAAAAGTATTATCTCGTAACGGCTTAGGAAAAGGAAGTACACTCGATCATATTTCGAGTACAAATCTTCTTTCTGACGAGACGCTCTTGCAAACGAATGCAAAGCGTGTACGAGTTTTTTCAGTAAAACACATCATTTTGATGCAATGTCGAGCTAAGAATGCTAACTTTCAGAATTGGAAGTTTACACTGTTAACGGTGGAAAGTGTGGAATATCAAAAGTTCGACTGAAAGACGACGCAGTAAATGGCAATCCTACCATTGAAATACTAGTACATAAGCACGTAGTTTCGTATTCGCATAGCTATGATAAAATTCTACAAGCACACGCTACGATAGTATAAAATAATAGCATGAAAAGAAATTATATCGCTCGTATAAAATGCTTTTATATAAACAACAAATTCCCAAATGGATAACGCAAAGAGATGATATAAAAAATTGTCGTATCATTAAGACGGTGGCATTCTGCGACTTTCACATCGAAATTTATTAAAACGTAACTTCTCACTCTTTCTTTGGCAATCACCATTTAAAGAATTTTTTTAACTGATCAGAGGATAACTTTCGACGATAGTAGTCCTTAAGCGCCGTATGTTATTTGCCTACTCAGGTATTAAATTTATTGTTCTTATTCGCAAACTTGAAAAATTTTTACATTAAGGTTTTTGTAACACCATGCATTATTTTTTGATCCCAGCTTCACTGAGGATCACCCGAAAAAGGGTCGAAACGTTTGGGTATTTTAATAAATTGATTTAAAAGTTCCACATTGGATCATTTCGCACGGAACACCTGCGGTTGGCTCGCATTGGCCCTTTCTCCCTACCTTAATAGTCGAAATATTTCTGTAAGACCATCCGGCGAGTAGGTAAAAATTAGTGAATTTCGAAACCGCGATATTTATGCAGTAAAAAGCCACGATCTATCTTCAAATCTCTCAGCTCGCTTTTCAGCCGAGGTATCGTTTTTCAGCTCACGCCATTATTACACTCCACTCCGCCGTTATCAATGGAAAGCACTGTACATGCACGAGCGAACTATTAGTTGCAGAATGTTCGCGCCAGGGCGACCTCGTCGTATAGTGACGCAGGGATTGTACCTTTACCCCGGGCTGGGGCGAAATTCTCCTCTCCGTTTCGGGAGCGGATTGATGGTTTTCATTGTTCACCAGGATAGGCGGATTTCAGTGCGGTGCGAGCACGGTAACACCGGCAGGCGCGCCCTTCGCGTCGCACAGAAGCCCTTTGACCATCCTTTGCATTCGGGATTCCGGAATGAAGGAAATAGAGCGCCGTAATACCACGATAGCGTGGCTACGTTATACGACAGGCGGCCGTTACCGCAAAATACTACGGGCCGCGCATGCATGCAGCTGAAGAATTTTAACAGGATACTACGAACCCCAAGCCGGAGAAGAGGCGAGGCAAACTGCATTACAGGGAGATAATAGGTGTAATTACGTTGATACAGAGTCGATAGACATCTGCGAAAATTTTCGCCCGGTCTGATCCTGGTTTCTGCATTATTCACGAGTTTCGGGCTTAATTATTCGAGAATTTCAAACTTGCACAATTATTGTTCTCAAAAAGGATGCTATTAAGTCGCGACAATCGACTGTACGTAATGCAATGCGCGCGATATCATTCGTAGCTCGCCGGGAGAATCAATTTCATAATTCAGGTAGAAAAGAATCTGGTGCGCATTCCCCATCCGATATAATGTCTCGGGTAGACTCCTGAGAAGGAAACTGAAGTCTCGCATTGTCTTTTTCTCGCGAATCTCAGTACGCAAAAATACGCATCCACGTACATACCCGTGTGTATTGCACGCCTTGTATATAATATATTCGCATGGTACTTTATAAATCCGGATTACAGCTATCCGAAGAGAAAAATAATAAAAAAACATTCCGCTAACGTTATTAGATTTTCTTTCATCCCCCGAGGACAAGACGATCCGCGACAGGGAGGCGAAAGGACGAATAGAAATGGAATGGAGGGACGAGCGCGTTGGTATTAGCAGATTCTGTCCGCTCCTCGATTCCGGCAAAACAGGGACATTAATCAGGATCCGCCTGATAAAATAAATAGACAGGAGGAAGAGAGAGTGACGTTTTAATTATAAGGACGGTCGATGATGCATGTTCGCTAAGTTACTATCAGTGCCGTGACACAAAGGCACTGACGTCGCCGCCTCGATACCATCGCTCAACGCATTTGTAACGAAACTCACGACCGTTTAGAAAATGTGATTATAATATTCCGAAAATCTATTTCTTCCTTTCAAGTAAGAATAAATTTGTGTCTATTTCAATAAACGCTATTTCAATAAACCGTTAATATTCCTCTAAAAATATATATAACTGTCGTAAAATTGTACACAATAAAATATCACGTAACAGACGAGTTACAAACAAAAGTGTTACATACACCTGTCGCATTTTTAGGTTGATCAACAAGCGCATTTAATTTTTCTCATTTTGAAACTGTGCATCGGACTGTTACGTAGTCTAACAATGGCTTGATTTTTTAAAAATTTATCGAGGCCATTCATTTCGAAATTGTTGCGGACACATGTGTACGGCTTATGACTCCGTATTCTACCGATAGTGAGCAGCAACTAGCTAGAAAATCGGCAAATTTGAAATTCAAATTCTTGGATCTCTGTGAACGCAATTTTGCGTTGCAGGAATCTCTGTACAATGTGAAATAACGAATTCCGGTTGAAGTAAATGTAACAATTTAGGCCACATTGCCGACTTTTAATAAAACCTTTAAATGATGTTTAATTATATTCAACGCTAAGATTTGAAAAAATAAAAATAAAATTTCTGTTTAAAAAAAATCCCATTTCAAAATAATAAAAATATCTGCACATACATGTAATTGTGTAGTTTTTCATTCACACAATATATTTATTCTTTTATGAATTGCCTTATAAATTGCTCGATATAACTACAATAGACTGAAGCGCAATCGCCACATCGTGAGTTATAACGCAATGATCAACGTGCCGGCGGGTTTCCTTGTGTGGCTATCGATCCTCAGAACGTTATCTGTACATTCCCTGAGCTTAACAGCTAATCCTCGTGATATGTGACGAACATTTGTCTCTCTTCCGAACACGGGCATAACAGTCGCGCTACGTCTTTACGACGTGTAATAAATACTTGACGAAATTGTCGGATGAGACGTTAGGCGAGCGTCGTGCGGGACGGAGGAGGTTAAGAAGGGAAAAAACATCTTGAATCAACTGGAAATGTGGAGTCGACTGAAACTGAGGGATGCGCGATAAGGAAGACACTTAATCATTCAATTTAATTAGAATGCAGTCTTGCCGCCGCTTGTGGATTCTATAATGATGAAATAGTTTTCAAGAAGTACACTTCCGGAAATTTATTTTAACATCGTGTCGCGCTATTGATCACCCAGCAAGCTGTACGAGTCCAAAAATAGAGTGAAATTCGCGGGCGATGGAGCTCGGAGCAATAGAGGCTCTCGCGTTTATTTGATAATTTGCTTAAAATATATTCTCTCGCATATAAAATTTTGAACAGGCAGCTTTATTTTAAGCCGCGCGTAATTCGCGCGGTCCGCACGATTTTCCGGATTTCGATATTTTACATTAGCGATGAATGATTGAAAACATTTCACTATACATTCTGTCAAATAAATACCGGGAATTGTTCATTTAAAAAGCCCGCGTAAAAGAATTATTTGCTGTAAGTTGGTACCAATGTACATACCTAATTGTCACGTAAAGTTTTGGCGCCATTTGTCAATCAGTTTGTTTATAGCTGTTGGTTTTGTTAGTCGATCTCACGTATGCTTGCGATTTTTAAAATGGATAAAAGTATCGAACAAAGAGTTTGCCTCAAATTTTGTCTTGCCAACGAAATATCTTGTGCTGAATCGTTGAAAATGTTGAAGAAGGCCTACGGTGAGTCAGCTTTGTCGAAAACACGAGCATACGAGTGGTACGAAATATTCAAAGAAGGCCGAGAAGTGGTTGAAGACTTGCCTCATTCCGATCGACCTTCAACGTCTTCGACTGACAAAAACATCGACAAAGTGAAGTAAATGGTGGTGGAAAATCATCATTCAAGCTTAAGAGAGATGGCTCAGGATCTGGACGTGCACAATCCGGAAAAGGCCAGATTTGTGGAAGAACAATTCTTGGACTTTGCACTACGATAATGCGCCGTCCCACCCATCGATCCTTGTACGCCAATTTTTGACCAAAAACTCAACGAATGTCATCAACCAAGCACCGCATTCGTCAGATATGGCCCCGTGTGACATTTTCTTGTTCCCCAAACTCAAATTACCACTTTGTGGAAGACGTTTTGAGTCCATTGAAGCCATAAAACAAAATTCGCAGAAGGAGCTGAAGGCCATACCGGAAAGTGCCTATAAGAAGTGTTTCGACGACTGGATTATTCGTTGGCATAAGTGTAACGCTTCAAATGGGGCCTATTTTGAAGGCGACGACACAAATTTGGACGATTAAACCAATATCTTGTGTTTTGATGAATAATTCCCGGTATTTATTTGACAGAATGTATTATGGGATTCGAGCTGGAACTGAAAAAAAGATCGTAAGATAAACGGTGGTTTGTCAGGTATGAAGTAGCCTTTATAATGTCGAACGGGCGACGAGATATGGCACGATTGGTTTTACTCGGCGTTATATCTTGTGGAATAAATTTAAAGCGCACTTTGAGAGATTCCGAAGTGGCCCCGTCCCGGTCCTACCTACCCGGCCAGCAGCAGCGCTTCTGAAATTGATCCAGATAGTTCGGTATATTCGCGTTAAGGAACACCGCCTAGAAATAAAACAAGGAATTTCATCATACCACTTTTAATGGAGCCGAACGAAAACAAGCGCCATTAACCGTTATCAAATTTCCTTCGACCGTTTTCCCGCCAGTTTACTATCCAACTTTTCCATTATCCCGCGCGCAACGTGAGAGAAGCGGAGGGAAACGGAGACAGCGACAGGAGAAGGAAAAAACGGAGGAGGAAGGGATATTTTACTCGCGAAGTCAAGTCGAACTACAATCCGTACTTTAAGTCTATGACTCCCAGGCAAGGCGGCAGCAGCAGCAGCAGCAGCAGCAGCAGCGGCAGCGGCAGCAGCAGGCGCGAGAGAATCGAGAGGAGGAAACGAGAAGCGACATCGCGCGGTCCGAACTTTTCCGAGGCAATGAGGGCTGCTCGAGAACCGCTCCGTAAATCGGACGATAAATCTGAAAGTTCTGGCTTGCTATGTCCCCGAAAAACCGTCGGGATCGGCTCTTTCTGAGAGAGCATCCGTCGGAAGATCTCCATCGGGATGGCGGGAGACGCGGCGCGACAAGATACGGTCAAGAAGGAGAGGAATCAATATAAAAGTCAGCAACCCTCGCGCTAACCAGGTATTTACGGCGGGTAAATACTAAAGGAGGCACCCCACGCTCGTTCTTTCATCCCCCGAAGGTCGATAGCTCGAAAGGGTGTCGTCGCTTTCAAATGCAAATTCATCGAGATACCCTCTCGTGCCCGCAAACACATATACAGGGTGATTCGCAACTAACGATTCGTAAATTCGAGGTGAGAACCGCTGCGGGAAAATATTAAAATAGCCCCGCGAACAAAAGCGAGAAACAAGCAGTGAGCGGAGCAAGTCTTTTCGGAAAATTGGAGGACGCGTGCATCGCGAGTTTGATGAAAGTAAAGTGTGTTCTCCTGTTGGTTGGACGGACTTAATTTGATTATGCCAGTTACCCTCCGTATCGCATGAGTGCCTCGATAAATTTAAATAACTATACAAAGACGTGCATACAGCGCTGCCGGAGACTGAACTCAGTTTATTGATTTTTCATTGCGCGTAACTTCTTTGAAATTCTCGTAGATTTTCCAAGTAGCAATAAACCCCCTATCATTTTTTTATGTTTAACATTTATTAATTTATTAAGATGACTACAGTAGTAAATATACTTATGTGGACGTACATTGTAATGTATGCACGAAGAAAATATTCATTAATATAAAAATTATATGATAAAGATTGGTTTTTTTTACATTAAATCCGTATCAATATTAGAGAAATGGCTTAAAGGTAAAATTGCGTTTTTATCAGTGAATAAATATCATATCCCATATAGTTCCCGTATTTTTATACGCGTCTCTTGGTCCCGCATAGAATCTCTTCGTTTCAATATTCCAGACATAATATGTACGCCAGGAAAGTTATTCCACTTTCTCGTATCGCGATATCTTTATGCGCACACCAACCTCATATACAATTGCAATATTGCAGTATCATAGCGTGTCGGTAATGTCATAAAATAAACAAGACGATATGAACGAGTGAGAGGAGGAGCAACAAAAGAGGCAAAATATCAAATAGCTGTAATATATCGAAGCGGCGGTTTCGAGATTTAAATATACCACTTGTTATAGAAGAGAGAAGGGAGAGGATAGTTAAATCAGATTTAACGAAAAGCGCGAAAATAATGACGACATTTATGATATTATTCATTTCCCCCGTCCCGAAGAAAACCCTATTATATCTCCCGGCCGAATGGGACGCCGATTTATCAAAAATAAGCTCATAATGTCGACACGGCCGAAACGGTTTTCAACTTGGGATATTCGTCAACGCCGACACGATCGTTCCGCGCCGGGAGGAGTGAGGTGATAATTTTTCTGTTGTCGCAAATTTATTTGTCGCGAGAACTCGTTTGCCGCGTGGCCGCGCGCAAAGGCGGAAAAGAGGGGCAGCCGATAATGAACAGTCCTTTCGGTCCCTGTGCCCGGCAAAGTCGCGGAAGGATTCAAAGCGCATCAATTTCGTTTCGTACGTGCGAAATTGCTGGGGCTGAGCCGAGGCGCCGCTAGTCAGCTCCGGCTGTCACAATGAATTCAACGTCTGGCAGTTTTCACCGCATTTAGTCACCCGCATTTCATTCGCGCTGTCGCTTATACAGCGTCGTTGAGATGAGGCCGCAGCCATCGTCATGATTAAATACGCACGGAAATGGTTCGCGCTATCCCATCAAGTACACAATTGTGGTAGGCGTACAAACTGATTATCTCTTTAAAATAAAAAGAAACGTTATACGCACATCCGAAATTACGTTCAACCAGAAACGTTCGCGAAGAAATTTTTCAATGTATGTACCAAAAAAAAATTCATCCGTGAGATCCGTATTTTTTTACGAAGTCCTGTCCAAATCGTATAAAGCCGTGCGAAATACCTACGAAGGTGCAAAAATGCCGGGCCGGCGAATTCTATGAATAATTCTGCGGGCAGGTAGGAAATATTTGTACTTTTAAATATGGATTCGCGTGTAGAGATTTATATTTCCAGAAAAATTGGTGCTAAATTAGCACGTAAAGTTGTTTATAAGGGAATGTCCCGTATCGCGCACCCGAGGCGCGATCACTCGCGGCTTAAGGTGAATTTAAATTGGCACAGAATGAGCACGGTATCGAGCTACCGCACTCTAGCCGGGTGTGATTTCATTCGAGCCTCTCTCTTTTCCTTCTGTTCGCGTTACTCCGCCGCCCGCCATCCACCCATAGCGACGCCTCTCGAATGAGTTTGCCATCCGGCGTGTTTCCAGCCGGGGCATCGGCCGGATTTGAATAATCCGTTTCTCCGGGCTTTAAGTGTTTTTCAAGATTAGGCGGGCACCGCTTTATAGGCAGGTCCAAGAGTCAAGAAGTAATTTATCTTCGTTTGAATGCCCCGCGTATTGGTGACTAAAGGGGAACAACGAGCATCTGGAGGTTGTACGAGGAGAACGACGA